AGACGGTGTTTCACCGTGTTGACCAGGATGGTCTCGATCTCTTGACCTCGTGATCCACCCGCCTCAGCCTCCCAAAGTGCTGGGATTACAGGCGTGAGCCACCACGCCCGGCTATCCTCAGTATATTTTATTATTTTTGATGCTATTGAAAATGGAATTGCTTTCTTAATCTCATTTTTAGAATGTCCACTGCTAGTATATAGAAATACAATTTATTTTTCATATTGATCTTGTAGCTTACAACCCGGCTGAACTCATTTATTGGTTTTAATACATTAGTAATTCCTTAGGATTTTCTATATACAAGAACATGTCATCTGCTAATAGATACAATTTTACTTCCCTTTTCAATCTGGATGCTTTTCACTTCCCTCTTTTCCCTAAGCTTCCATGGCTAGAACATCTATTAATACTGCAATGTTGAATAGAAGTAGTAAGAGTAGATATTTTTGTTTAGTTTCTGATCTTAAGAAGAAAGCACTGATTCTTTCACCACTAAGTATGGTTTTAATTGTGGGTTTTTTTAATAAAAAAAAATAAAATTCTAAAGATTAAAAAAATCATTTTGTAGAAACAGGGTCTTACTGTATTGCTCAGGCTGGTCTTGAACTCCTGGGCTTCAACAATCCTCCTGCATTGGCCTCCCTGAGTGCTGGGATTACAGGCGTGAGCCATCATGCCCAGCCCAGCTGTGGACTTTTTGTAGATACTCTTTATCAGGTTGAGGACATTCATTTCTAGTGAAATCCATTGAGTCTTCTTACTATTAAGAGGGTTGAAGCTTGTCAAATGGTTTTTCTGTGTCTATTAAGATGACCATGTGTTTTTTGCTCTTTATTCTATTAATATGATATATTACATTAATTTATTTTCAGATGTTAAACCAACCTTGCATAGCTGGGGTAAACCCTACTTCATCATGGTGCATAATCCTTTTTATATTGTGACAGTTCATTTGCAAGTGCATTCTGATTCACATACAAAGCATAAAATTTTTTGTGTATTTCTATAGTGCCTCCCATTTTCAGAATGCTTTATGATTTCAGAGTGCTCTCTCATAAATTAAATTTGTTCCCAGAATAGTCATGGAGCATTAGAACAATTTATATGACCTTATCTGATCTCAGCTATCCATCTGGAAACCTAGCCATCATTCGAGTGCCCAACAAGGTAAATGGTTTCACTTGTATAGTCCAAGAAGATATGCCCACTAACCCTCCTATCCTGGCAATACTGGATTCCTCTGGCAGAAGTTCCTGCTATCATCCCAATGGAAATGTCTGGTAAGCTTCTAGGTTCTTTTCGTGGTTTTAGTTCTGAGAAAGTTTGTTTTTTCTTTTTAAATATTAAGAATGGGTTTAATAAGATTTATTTAAGTTAGTGGCCTTTAGATGATAATGTTCAACAACTCAGAGACATTGTTGGTTTACACCATTCCATATGCTTCTCAATGGAAAAATCCTAAGCAACTATAAAAATAAAGCTCATATTCTTTCTGTACATAGAATATATGAATTATGTAATTACAACATAGAAGAAAACTTGATAAATGATATGGTAACTCTAGGGATTTGGGATATTAACTGAGGCAGTCTCTAGAGTCTGTGCCCTGATGATGTTATTCTGCTTCATCTATGGAAACAACTTGTCAATAAACAGTTGCTATACTATGTTGTTATTGTTTGAGATACATTCCTAACCAGTAAGCTTCCTATAGCCACAACCAAGAACAATAACATACAAACAAAAGCTCCAGAGACATTAAGATCTGGTCCCAATGTAATCTACTATGTATATACTCTGTGACTTCATATTGTCTCATTTAGCCTGACAAAGTGAAATTTTGGTTCTATGTTCAAATACAATCTAAACTTTTTGAACTTTTCAAAAAGAGGTCTTTCCTTTTAAATTATATACAGGTATGACAGTCTCATCTCAGGAAACTGCCAGTAATTGGTGATGTTTATATACTGCTAGTCCTTGAGAAAGTTAGGATATTGAGCTGTTTGTGTTTTTCATCCACAGCAGTAGTCAATTCATTACCACCATATTTATTGGAAAATTTATAGTTATCTTTCAGGATTCTATAGCAATTCTATGTTACCTTTGATGGACTGCTATATTAATTGTCACCAACACTCATTGGTTTCTAGACTGGAAACCAATAAGTTCTCCCAGATTGATTTTATGAAACCCCTGCCCTGTGGACTGAACTCCCAGGCACCCTGACATGGCTCCTTGATACTCTCATAGCCCTCTCTCTGCCTCTTGTGTAGTGAGTCCATTTCCCTTACTGGACTAACATTCCTTGAAGGCACATCCTGAATCTTTGCTACTACATAGCTGTGTATCTGTACCTAGTGTAGACTCAAAGAATGTTTACTAAATAAACAAGGAACTGATTTATCCAGATAATTTTAGCCAAATATTATTTTCACCCATATTTCAAGATAAAACTATAAATCTTTCCTTCCCAGACACAATAAGATAATCACCTTAGTTTCTCATTTGTGCTTTTGTTATTAGATTACTACCACTGATCAATACTGAGGACATGAGATGTTAGTTAGGGGTCCTCTTGGCCAAGTCATCTAGTTTTTAGAAAGTAATTTATTATCAAATTAAGTCAACTTTCTGAGTACCCAGAACTGTATCTGTTGTCTCTCCTCAAGGTGGGGATGGTAAGAGGGTATGAGAAAGAGATAGCTGAATAGAATGGCATGGTGATTAGTGCTACCAGATCTCAGATGGCGATGGACTAAATGTGATGTAGCAAAATGCAAGGCGTTCACAGTCTGAAGAGACAGGGTCGCCCAGTGGGTCTAGGGTCCACCTTTGCTCTGTCACAGACCTGTTCTCCACTGCAGTGATCAGAGAGGTGTTCCCTGAGCCTCTGCCACCATACACAGCCATGATGGGAGGACTCCTGGAAGGACACCTGGTTCCTAGTTGGGCATTGCCAGTAAACAGCTCTTCTGTACTGAGGTCAACACAGTCTTCCCCAGAATTTACAGCCACAGGTCTTTATTTTGGTGTGGTGAAAATCTAAGCACTGGTATTTCCACCTCTGTCAGGATTAATCTACTCTTCTGTATCTCATTTTCTTCAGACTAAACCTTCCCTGCTCCCTCTTCATCCTTCCAGACTCTTTCATCCCAGTTTGGTGCTTTGGATCCATTTTAGTTTATCAGTGTGACTCATACCGGATACAGTATTTCGAGTTAGTACAGAATTTAGTCATAGTATTATCACTCCTAAGATTACCTGAAGTTTCTACCACTCATGCTATTCGCTGGCATAAACCATTACTCCCCTTAGCAAGTGACAGGGATAATTCTAGTATTTAATTACAGTGTTACTATTTATGATTTTTAAATTTCCTTCCTGCCCAGGGTATATGTCAATATCTTGGGAGGTCAATATTCAGATCAAGCCGGCAACAGAATAAGGGCTTGGAATTGGTCAAGTTCCATCACTTCCCCACCCTTTGTTTCATTTAAACCTGTCTTTCTGGCTTTGAACCGTTATATTGGAGTCCGAATCCTAGAACAAGACAAGATTTCTATAACTTTTCTAGCAATGGGCCAACAGGCAAGAATCAGTGTTGGAACCAAAGTGGAGGTAGGTACATTTTAAAAAACAGTTTAAAGCATTTAGAATAATAATAAGAGTAAAATAACTTTTGTTAGTATTATTACTGATAGATTACATAGTACATAATCTACTGTCCACTAGAATTTTGGAATTCAATGGAAAAACATGCAGCGAAAGCTTCATGTGGAATTGAGGAAGCCTTATTGTTTCTTATTCTGAAATTCCTTTTAGTTCAGACTTAGATTCAAGTAACACTTATTGAGTGTTTGCTTTGTGCCTGAGTAGTGCTACTTTGGGAGTTTTGTTTAAAGATTTCGTTTTGTGTTTGTTTTTCTCCCTGCCATGGTAGAAGGCCTTGGGCTGGGTCAGGAGACTTGAGTTTGAATCATGTTCAAGACCAAACATAAGCCTCGTCTCCTTGGAGACACTTCCTAGATCTCCTAGTCCTTCACCCAGTCAGCCTCAACCACATCCTTCTCCGGGTTTTCTGTGTACTTGCCTCCATTCCTGCGCTTGCTGAACAGTGTTGCCTTTCCTACTGATGGCAACCTCCTGAAAGAAAGAATCTCTATCCTATTGACTTCTCTCCCAAGGCACAGCCCTGAGTACACTCTCAGTGACCAGCCATAATGCACGTTGATTAAGAACATGGAATTCAGGTTGCAGATTCTCTGTAGTTTCAAACCTCAGCTCTGCCACTTGCCTGACTGAACTTGAACTTCAGTTCCTTATCCATAAAATGGAATAATGATTCCAACCTTACAGATTGCTGTGAAGATTTGATGAGAATGCAAAGTACTAAGGGTGATGCTTGGCACTAAATAAAATAATATAGATGTATATAAATAGAGGTTGATGTATAGCTATATACATAAATAACACGTATCGTGTGTAACTTCAAACAAGGCCCTTAAACTTTAAGGACCTTTGTTTCATTGATTTTCTTTTTTGTTGTTGTTGTTTTTTTTTTCAGACGGACTCTTGCTCTGTCGCCCGGGCTGGAGTGCAGTGGTGTGATCTTGGCTCACTGCAACCTCTGCCTCCCGGTTCAAGGAATTCTTTCAGCCTCAGCCTCCCAAGCAGCTGGGACTACAGGCGCCTGCCACCACACCTGGCTAATTTTTGTATTTTGAGTAGAGAGGGGGTTTCACCATGTTGGCCAGACTGGTCAACTCTTGACCTCAGCGATCCACCTGCCTCGACCTCCCAAAGTGCTGGGATTATAGGTGTGAGTCATCACGCCCGGCCTGTTTCATCTATTATTTATTTATTTTGAGATGGAGCCTCACTCTGTAGTTCAGGCTGGAGTGCAGTGGTGCGATCTCGGCTCACTGCAACTTCCACCTCCTGGATTCAAGCAATTCTTCTGTCTCAGCCTCCCAACTAGCTGGGACTACAGGTGCGCACCACCACACCAGTCCTGTTTTATCGATTTTTAAAGGAAGGCTTCAAAGGTGCCTTCAACTTTTCAGTGTGTGGAAATAGAATCTCAGTAATCAACACAGAAAGAATATCTCAAGACCACCAAACAAAGGGGAGATTTCAGATTCAGGCAACATAGAGCGAGGGTCTACAATGTACAGTTACTTTCAGTAAGTCTGGCAACTGCAGTCAAATGTTTAGGCTCCAGACAAACTTCTTTCTTGGTTAGAAATCTGCAGCATAGCCTCCTTTGGTTACATTACATTCATAGTTAATACACTCTGACCTAAATTAAATATAAAATTTTATTTTATACATAAAAATACTTCTCTCTCCTCTCTTTTCCCCACCCCCCACCTCCCTTCCTCTCTTCACTTAGAAATTAATTTTAATCAAAAAAGAGTTATTTTGATGCAAAATGAAGAGTTCATCATTAAAATTTTCTTTTTTTTTTTTTAGACGGAGTTTCACTCTTGTTACCCAGGCTGGAGTGCAATGGCTCGATCTCGGCTCACCGCAACCTCCGCCTCCTGGGTTCAGGCAATTCTCCTGCCTCAGCCTCCTGAGTAGCTGGGATTACAGGCACGCGCCACCATGCCCAGCTAATGTTTTGTATTTTTAGTAGAGACGGGGTTTCACCATGTTGACCAGGATGGTCTCGATTTCTTGACCTCGTGATCCACCCGCCTCAGCCTCCCAAAGTGCTGGGATTACAGGCTTGAGCCACCGCGCCCGGCCATCATCATTAAAATTTTTTACTTTTCTCATTGTTCTCACAATCACCCTTTAGTTTTTTTTTTTTTTTTAATTACAAGAGTGACTTGTGAATATATTTTTATATTTAAATATTTCAACAATACAGAAATATAATTTTTAAAAAATGAGATTCCCTTCATTTCTTCCATTTCTTCTTCTATTCTAACTCCCTTCCCCAAAGCAATCACCACCCAAAATTTAGTGTGTATCTTTCTCCTTACTACATACTTATAAATTATTTTATAGATTTTTTTTTAATTGAGATGGACTCTCACTCTGTTGCCCAGCCTGGAGTGCAGTCACAATCTCAGCTCACTGCAACCTCTGCCTCCTGGGTTCAAGCGATTCTCGTGCCTAAGCCTCTTGAGTACATTGGGGTACAGGTGTGCACCACCACACTCAGCTAATTTTTGTATTTCTAGTAGAGACGAGATTTTACCATGTTGGCCAGGCTGGTCTAAGACTCCTAACTTCAGGTGATCCACCTGCTTGGGCTTCCCAAAGTATTTCGATTATAGGTGTCAGTCACCATGCCCAGCCTATTTTATACATCTTTTTTAAAAATAAAAATTAGATAATATACAGATTGTATTGTTGGAGGGGGTTCCTATTTGATTTTGTTTCCCACTTAATGAGTATTGAAGGTTTTTTGGTGTCTACATTTTGAAGAATATTGGAAGTCTACTTTATTTTTTAAATTGCTACATATTTCATACATACTATAGTTAATTTATAAGAAATTTAATGACTTCTCAGTGGCAACGGACACAGATGATCTCTTCTCCTGGAATCATTTCTTCCCTCGCTTCCAAGAGACTACTCTCCCCTGATTTTCCTAGTACCTCACAGGCGGTTTCTTCTCATTTTTCTGGCCTGATTACTCTTCACCTCCCCTTTTTCTAATATTGGAGGATCCCAGAGCTTGTCCTCTGGCTGACTTTTCTGTATACTGTCTCCCCAGATGATCTCATTGAGTCCCACATTCTTAAATATCATCTACTTGCTGATAGCCCTTTAATTTGTATCTCCAGGTAGATCTCATATGAACCCAAAACTTGCAAGTCTCTGATTCCAATTCAATATATCCATTTGGATTTCTAAGAAGGCATTAAAAATTTAACACAGGCCAGGCACGGTGGCTCATGCCTGTAATCCCAACACTTTGGGAGTCCATGGCGGGAGCATTACTTGAGCCCAGGAGTTTGACACCAGCTTGGGCAACATAGGGAGAAATTTTTCTTATTAGAGCCATCATTGACTTAATCTGTAAAACGTTTTCTGTCATTGTGTGAGATTTGGGTTTAAAGATTCTGGCCTATTCTTTGTTCTTTGTCCATCCCACATGCTTTCCTTCCTCGATTCCTTCCTTTCTATGGAAGGAGGAGTGAAATGCAGAAACGAAACTGTAAGTTTTTGCATCTTTTGCAGGTAAGTGGTCACTCAGCTTGCAGAGGTTCTGCTTGTATTTAACCTGCCCCACAGAGGCTAAATGCCCCTCCTAGGCTGGCCCTGAAGCTATAGACTGAAAACAGCTCGGTTAAGACTGTCCTGGCCAATCCATTCAGGTTTCTGCAGCTACAAGGAGACAACACCAGCTTTGAATCATCAAAAGCTGTGAGGAAGTGGGGAGAGCAGAGGCCAAAGAGGGGTAATGGAGAAGTGAATTTGGAAAGGCCTCCTGGAGGTAGGGCACATTTAGCAGCAGTAAAGAGAGCTGTAGTTTTTCCCAGTCCTAACTTCTCTTTGGAAAACTGAGCTCCTCAGTGCCTTCCTGGTGAGCACCCAGCCTTCAGAGCAGCACTCGTCCTACCTCCTGCACTGGGCACTTTCCAGGCAAGGGACTGTGTCTGAGGCATCTTTGTGATCCCCTCAGTATGTGCTGGTCAATTTACTTGAATAAATTATAAGCTTTTGAAGGTATCCAGGTTCCATTTGGTATCTCAAGTCTTCACAGCGTTTCAGCTCTTTTCTCATTCAGATTAGAATAAGACCAGCACCCCTGCTTACAGATTAATGAGTGGACCCTCATCAGGGAATCCAACCCTACATTAGTGCCATGGCTCGGCTCCTCCCACCGCCCCAGTTCCACTCTTGGACTGACTTTCCTTCTCTTTCTCTTTGCTGAAAAGCTACCAAACCCTGAGGAGATTCCAGTCCTCCGATACGTGAGTGGAGATGACCTTCTTCTGCTGGCCAGTTTAATAAAGATCCGTCGCCTGTTTCACAAACTGGAAGGATGTGTGAATTTTCCCTCAAGCCAGGTTTGGGAAAAATTAAAGCAACCCTCCTACCTTTCTTCACTTTCTCTAAAACTAATTGCCCTTTGTCACAGTTCTGGTATAAAGCAAGATATAATGAATACAATAACAAATATAATAAATGAAGAAATTTAATTAAGAATGATGATGCTTTCATTTGTTTTGTTGAGTTTTTTTGGGTGGAAGGATCAGGAGTTTGCTGGCTGATATTGAGTGTGGGTGGAAGGATCGAGAGTGTGATGGCTGATGGCTGAGTGTCAATTTGATTGGATTGAAGGATGCAAAGTATTGTTCTGGGTGTATCTGTGAGGGTGTTGCCAAAGGAGATTAACATTTGAGTCAATGGACTAGGAGAGGCAGACCCGCCCTCAACCTGGGTGGGCACCATCTAATCAGCTGCCAGCACAACTAGGATAAACCAGGCAGAAGGTAGAACGAGCAGACTTGCTGAGTCTTCCAGCTTTCAACTTTCTCCTGTTCCGGATGCTTCCTGCCCTCAAACATCTGACTCAAAATTCTTCAGCTTTTGGACTCTTGGACCTGCACCAGTGGTTTGCCAGGGGCTCTCAGGACTTCAGTCACAGACCGAAGCCTGCATAGTTGGCTTCCCTACTTTTGAGGTTTTGGGACTCAGACTGTCTTCCTTGCTACTCAGCTTGCCAAAGGCCTAGTTTGAGACTTCACCTTGTGATTGTGTGAGTTAATACTCCTTAATAAGCTCCCCTTCATATATACATCTATCCTATTAGTTCTGTCCTTCTAGAGAACCCTAATACAGGACGGATTCAAAAAAAGTGTACAAAATGACCAAAATACCAAGGAATATGCTGTATTATCAATTTAGAACACTTTCTGAACATTACTGGTTTACATTCTTTTTTTTTTTTTAGAGATGGGGTCTCACTGTTGAAACAACATCATTTTCTGGGGCAATACCCAAGTTTCGTTGCCTCATGCCAGGAAAATTAAGCATCCAGACACACACAAGGAGTGAATTTAAAAGCAGAGGTTTAAGCTGGGCGCAGTGGCTCACACCTGTAATCCCAGCACTTTGGGGGGCTAAGGTGGGTGGATCACAAGGTCAGGAGTTCAAGTCCACCCTGGCCAATATGGTGAAACCCCATCTCTACTAAAAATACAAAAGTTAGCCAGGCGTGGTGGCGCATGCCTGTAGTCCCAGCTACTCGAGAAGCTGAGGCAGGAGAATCACTTAAACCCAGGAGGTGGAGGTTGCAGTAAGCCAAGATTAGGCCACTGCACTCCAGCCTGGGCAACAGAGCGAGACTCTGTCTCAA